ATCACTAAATCTGGCTACACTAAGCCTAATTTAACGTACCATTTTAAGAATCTCCAAGCTTTTCTGTTGAACCCTGGGTCATGTTTTTAGGGACACTCATCTTCGGAGAATTGTAAAAAGAACTGTTAAAGAACCGTTGCCAGTTGTTTTAAGCTCTGGATTTTTTTTTCTGATGCTGGAAGTGTTTTGTAAGTCCCAATGTGAGCCAGCTGAAGTAGGAAGTGGGCTGAATGTTTCAGGAAGTTCAGAACAGATTTTTGTTGTTGTTGTTTTTTTTTTTTTCTTGGCATCTACTTCACTGCTACAGTCTGTATCGTTCAGGGTTGAAAATTAAAAGGACTTTTTCACTTTAAAAGATCACCGGGTAGGTCCTTGTAACATACCTGTTTCCTGGTAGTTTGTGTCTGGCCGTTGTTGTAACTTTGCTGATGCTGTATAAATACGTCAACATCTTTGTGAAAACTTGTTAGGCATGAAATACTAACTGAAATCGGTGATGCTATTTTTTTTAAGATGCTTTCAGTGCAGACTATAATTAATCCTAGATCTCTATGACTCATGACAAAAGCATAGGAAAAATTCCTTAACTCTTCATGTTGTTCTTGGCTACCTCCTTGCTCTCTGTTTATCCTCGGAGGTAGCACCTGTGGGCATGCCTGTAAATTGCAGACCATTTTTTTCTATGAAGATTTTAAATATTTCAGGACTAAGAAAACTAAAAAGACTCCGGTTTCTTAATTAATCAAATATTTTTTTTTTAAATGTAATTTGCTATAGTAGCTGCTTCAGAAGTCTAATGCTTCGAATGAGTATTCCATAACATCCCATAATAGAGCAGGTAGATGAAATGTGTTATCTCCTCTTGTAAACCTTAAAGAAGGGCTCCCTTAAACTTCTCTGAGGGTTGCTAGAGCAGTTTAAGTTCTCAGTGCGCTGCCTAAGAGTGATCGCTGTTTGGAGGAGAAAGCTGTCTCCTTGCAGTGTGCTAACATGCAGGTTGTTTCCATGTTCAGGCTCTTCCAGCTCAGCATGGGGTTAACAGATGCTATAAGAGCTTTTTTCCATATATTTCCATCTAGTTGCAGAAGGTTGGAGGCTGCTTTTGCGGGCCCTGGCATATTGATTTCGTCTGTGCTTTCCACTGTGGCAGCATCGTGTCTTTATCTCGGATACTTAAGACATGTTGCACTCGCAGCAGTTTGAAGTTCAAACAGATGCTTGAGTCTGCTACGGCTGTCCTACTGCTTTGGTTGATCCAATAACACAATCTCGGTGTGTGATGGATTGCTCTTTTCGTAGCAAAGTGTGTTTTCACAGTACGCGCTCAGGAAAGCAGATACGTCTTGTGTTGCAGGATATGCTTATCTCCTTTTCTCTGGGACCTATCTTACGTTGTGCTAGATAACGAAATACTAAGTGGTGCCTAGAGATACGGGTGTAGTGGTGCCGGGGCTGTGCTTTTCCATTAAGTGAATGGAGTAGCACGGTTCAGATAATGGTAGCGCAGTTCAGATGCAGTTTAGCATAATGTAGGTAAAATTAAGGGGATTTTTGTTTTAACAATATTGAGCTGTTAGTTTGGGCTTGTTTTGTAAATCTGCAGGCCCTTGTGAGTCAAAGGTACACTGGAGCTGTGTAATCCTTCTTGTGAAGCCTTTGCAGGGCAGTGTTCTTCAGAAGTCCCTCAGTGTTTTCATTTTTAGGCTCCATCACTTCCTGGTGATGCTCTAAGATTTCAGATATCTTAGTTGTAAAAGGAGCTTGTAATTTAATTTTTTTTAATTTTTTTTGGATGTTGAACTAGAGGTGTAACAATTTCAACATTGTGAGAATTACTGTTCTTTATCCTCATTCTGGTGGGGCCTTTCCCTGGTCTCAGCTTTGGAGGTTTCTTATCTTTGAACCGAAAACCTTAGGTTCCAACACGTTTGTTTACTTGCTGTGCAGCATAATGCAGCTAACAACCCTCCCTCCCCTCCGCCCCCAGACTTCAGAGGGTGTTTTCACAACTCTCAGCACAGGCTGACTTGTCCCAGGAGCAGCTACTAATTTAGATCAGCAGCATCACTTCCATCTTCTGCTTTAAGAGGATTTGATTGCAGGTGTCTGCAGTAGGACCCCAGGGATATTCATCCTGCCCTTCACCATATTTCTAAGAATCTATAGGCCTGTGGCATCTGAAGTGGTAGTGCTGTCACAGTGATGGAAACCTGGGATCTCCCAGTCCCTCTGACCTGTCTCTCTGAAGCTGGATGATAGTGTGGTTAGTGCAGGATTCCTGGCTTGGAGAGAGTCAAGTAACAGTTATTGTGGTATCCTGCCTACCCGTCATCGTGCAGGAGGCTTGAGCAGAGAAAGCAAGGCATTTGCATTCTGTATGGTTCGCTCCTTGCTTACGGAACATGGATTCTGTATCCCCATATGGGAGAGGAAGAGTCGTCCCTGCTCTGTGGACGGTGGGATAGAGAGGGCTGCTCTTGCTCCTCGCAGTGAGAGGGGCCCAGCAGGGACGAGGGTGCTGGTCTGGTGGGGGTCACTCAGGCTAGTGTACAGGTCGTGGAGAAGCCTCTTGGTGTGCGAGTCTCGCATCCTGGGGTAGGAGAAGGATAACAAGGTAAGTATGAGAGACAAAATAGAATGTTCTCCCAAGATCAGTGATGATCCTAATGCCATAATTACAGTGAATGTGATAATAACCGTTTTAAAATTGGCTGTCTAGGGTAAGTCGCAAAGAATAGCAGTTGAGACCTCTCAAACGAGTGACACGAGAGGCTGGACACTGAAGGCCTCATCCCCAGCAGCGTGTGTCGTGATACCCCTTTCACCTGTGTGGGCTTTCAGTGTGAGTGACCCTTGGACTTGGGTTCATCGAATCTCTGGATTTGTCCTCTAAAGCTCAGCAATGAGGCATTACATGGTGTGGAGCTCTTCCAAAGAGCCACTGCCACCCTGGCTCTTGACGTGGACGTTTGAGTAGGTAGATACTCCAGCTGGAAGCTGTGTAACCACTTGCTCAGAAGTGTTAAACGTAATGCTGTCCTGTCCCAGGTGAGACAGACAGCCGCCCTTTCCTTCAGTAGTTCTCAACGGATTTTGAGACCAAACTGCCCTTGTTACTGCTTTGGGCCATCTTGTCTGTGCCCTCTGCTCCCACTTCACCCAGTGTTCTAGAATAGCGTTCATTTTCTCAGGTCGGCTTGTTGAACGCTACTATTGGTTTGTGCTCAGTTTTCAGCCTACTGCTTGCTTAGTCACTCTTCCACAGGAAAGTGCCTGCTTTCCTAACTGAAGGAGGCTACTGAGAACCAGAACTGGGGCAGGGAGGGCTGGGAATCTCTGCGATTCATAAACAAATCTCCAGTGTGGCTTGGGATTGTCACCATGTAGGGAAGCAAAGGTCGTCCTGAGCTGATGTTTGCAGCTGGTACAAGTTGGTAGCAACTTGTACCAGTGCTGCCTTTCAGTCTGATTTCCGAGCTGCCTCTGTGCCCCTGGGTTAGCTGGCATAAAACCTGAAAGCCCCACTGCAGACTTCTGCGAATTTCAGCAATATCGGAGAATTGAAGTGTATCGGAGAATACACTTCTCTTGTTCCTTTTGTTGTACAGTGAGATAGCATGCTGATGGCTCCTGGGCTGCTAGTAAATAACACACATGCAAAAACTTATTTTTAGGACGTTGAGACCTCCCACTGCTGTACAGGAAGCTCTGAGGCGTCTGTACTCTGTCTTCATATGCAAACTGGAACGTCAGAGCAGTGACCTTCATTTCTTGCAACTCAGTGTTATGTAGTTTATCTCCTTACAAAGGAAGGAGTTCTTGGGAGATACTGGAAGTTCTTGCTGATCTCAAAAAAAGGAGGAGTTGAAAACTCTGTTATCTGGCCACGAACTGTTTGCACGTTTGCCAGCCAGACAAAAGGACACATCAGTTATGTTGGTGCTGGAAAACTCCCTCACAGTAGGAGGCAAGGATGAGCTTTATATCTGAGCCCCGAGTTTTAATTTGGGCACTGAGTGTGGGGGGAGAAGAGACCTGTCACTGATAGACAAGAATGCCTTTTCAAAAAAAGGTCGTATGCCTGCCCTAGCTGCTTGTTCCAGCTGTTCTGGCAGGTGCCTGCCTTTTACAGGAGAGCTGGGTATTCATATGAAGGTGTTTCAGGTATTTCTCTCTGGGCGTACCCAGAACTTCATAAACTGCCTCCCAGATGGGTTGGTCTGGGGCAACAGCACGGTGAAGAGAAGCTTCCATGTTGTGGAGTTTGGAGAGTTCCTTGGTTACAGATGTGAATCGCCAGCAGTACCCTCGCACCCGTATTTATGCAGCTTAGTTGACGGGCTTCGTACTCTGACTGTCGTAGCCTGAGGAGAAGGGCTGAAATAACTTGGGTCGGTGTGGGCTGTTAAAACAGCTGGATTGGGACTTAACTACAGTTTTCTGCTTAGTGAGCCTTTCTCAAAGGAAGAGCAGTCAGTGTGAAGTAAAAGATCAGATTTTCATGCTGAAGTGTCTGATTTGGATGTTGCTTTCAATACTGCTTTTCTACAAGACCCAATTCCCTTATAGTTGTTGATTAAAAAATGTATTTTCTTGAAATTTAAATGGGAAATCAACCAGAAAGCCCTTACCATGATTTCATTCAGTCTTTAGGACTTGGTTATACACCCACCTCTGGTGTTTTTGTAGTGCCCTGGGATTAGGCTTTGCAAAAGGGTCGATCTACCTCCTGACACAAACTGTCTGACTGGGGTGGTTGTTCTAGCAATTGAAGTCTGTCGCAGGGGAACCTCGGGTACCAGTAGTGTGTAGGACTTGAGAGTCAACGATTAGCTCTGAAGAGTAGAAGAATCATTCATTGTAGAGCTGAGCAATCTGTATTCCGTATCCAGCGTGCGTGTATGAGCACAACAGTAGCAGTTTGAGCTTGTGCAGGGACGATACTTCCCTTGCTTAAGTTCATTCTGAATAAAGGCTCCTTATCTCTCTCTCAACTCCAGGAACTTTCAAACTTACAATAGAATTCACAGAAGAATATCCGAATAAGCCGCCTACTGTTAGATTTGTCTCTAAAATGTTTCATCCAAATGGTAAGTACTTGCACAATGCTTGTTGTTGTTGTTGTGGGTGGTTGTAGCCCGCTGTAGAAATAGGTCTGTTTATAATAAAAGTTTCCACTAGCTAATAAACTAGCAAAATTCAGTGCGGTTCCGTGTAGCTTTGGTAAGGATGACTGTGAGCAGTGCTTAGGCTTGAAATGAAAGGGGCTGTACCGGGAGCCTCTTACCTTTTGGGTGTCACAGCACAGTACTGGCGAGACACTTTTCTCTCTCAGCTGCCTGTTGTTAAACCTTATAGAACAGTGTTTTGTGCTTAAATCAGTGCCTTGGACTTGTGTGTGCACTGCGTAGCTCACAGCACTGCTGGGTGCGGTGGTCTTGGATCACTTCCCAGCAATGCCTGTAGGAATGACAGACCTTGAAATGCACTGCTCGTTCCCTACTACAGCCAGGGATAGTGAGATCATTTAACTCATCCCCTTCCTTGGTCGTGAAAGGTTGGGGATGCATTCCTTGCCTCCCAACACATATGAGCTTTGTGAAGAAATCTGGAAGGTTCAAAGCACGTGTGGGTAAAGTGTGCGGAGGGGAGGGTCTTCTCAGGCTGCCGTGAGGCAGGTGCCCAGACACTGACTGTCGTAGGTACTTCCTGGGGAAACCTTAGGTGTAAACAGCCTTGTGCTGGGCTTGCTTGTGGGTAGCTTAAATTTCTTTGCCTCAAAATCAGAGCAGCCTGATGAAGAACAAGCAGGGGCGGAGTTTAAATACCTTGGGCAGCTGTGGGTGACAAGCTTCACCTCTTCCCACCTACAGCCTTGTTCGCTGGGTTTAGGTCTGTCGGACACTATGGACTTTTGCTGGGTTTGTCAGTACGTAGTTCTCAGGATCAGGCAATAGTAGGAAAAAACTGAGCAGCTGTACAACTCCTGTGTTAAGTCATTTTTCTTGAACCTTTTCTAGTCTACGCAGATGGTAGTATATGTCTGGATATTCTTCAGAATCGTTGGAGTCCTACTTACGATGTCTCCTCCATCTTAACATCCATACAGGTAAAAAGAACTCTGCGTGAAAAGGCAGCATGAAATTAGGATGCTTTGATAAAAACAGCTCGGGGAACACATTTGGGGTAGCCAGGATGTACCTTGGTTTTGGCCACAGCAGGAGTAGTTCCTGTGGCGTTAGTGGCAGCAGGTGCTCGCTGAGGGGACTGGCGCTGCTCGGCTGTCAGCTCAACAGTCGCCTGCACTAGGAGGGACACTGGTCCCCGATTTACACCTGGAGTAATGCCGTGTATGTGACCCGTGTCGAACTTCTGCCCTCCTGCTAGTATGGGTGGTTTAAGGAGCCTGTTGGAAAACGGCGTGTTTAAGTGTCTAAGAACCTCTTTCTCTTTGCACAGTCTCTATTGGATGAGCCCAATCCCAACAGCCCAGCAAACAGCCAGGCAGCTCAGCTATACCAAGAGAATAAGCGGGAATATGAAAAACGGGTTTCTGCCATAGTAGAACAGAGCTGGCGTGACTGTTGACCCAGGATGATGCAAATGAACACTCTGTTGATGAGGAAAATAAACAAAGCGTCCGAGTCATCTTTTTCCTCCTAGCATTTACTTTGAAAGCAGAATAGCTGTTGTGCTGTTGCCACCCTCCCTCGCTGAAGCTTCTTCTCCTTGGACATCAGAAAGCACCCACTTTGAAGTCACGTGTTCTGTACTTGGGTTACTTGCAAAAGAGTTACTGATGCCGAATTCATTTTCTGTGGTCCCTCTCCAGTCTTAGGGCAGTATTGTGCATTTCTGTAGTGTACACTAAGCTTTTAATTGTAATTGTGTTATACACAGTGATGCTTATGTGTAGCTTGATAAAAGGGATGTTTATATACATACACATTTTTTAACTGGTATTAACTAAAGTGCTGATCTGTCCAGGCTGGTCACTTACCTCTACTCTTGGTTTAGACCCCACTGCATTTGTAAGTGCTGCGTGAAGAAATAACCTTGTTTCCCTTCTGAATTGGTTTCCGAGCTCTTTACTCACAGAGGAAAACCAACTCTAGAACTGATTCCCATTCAGATCTGTGGTAAGACTGTGGAATGCTCGTTACTCCTTCACTTCCCGTGCGGGGTTTATGTACGGATGTACATAAAGCACTGCAGCTGTGGTACTTCGCTTAGGGTGAGAAATAACCCCGTTTCACTTTGAGTTTTTATTGTAAAGGACAGAGACTGCTTCCGTGGCCGTAGTCCTGTTGCCGAGGCGTTACCGGGCAGAACCAGGTAGAGCTGTGGTACTCTGAGCGAAAGACCTTCCCCCTCAAGGCAGAGGTAAAACCCGCAGTGTCTGGTGGTGGAGTTACTCTCCTGCGTCTTTCTCCCGCCCCTTATCTTTGGTTGGGGAAGACAAGTTGTTTGGGATCCAGCTTTGCCTTGGGGAACGTTTAATAAAGTACAGGGTAGGCATTTGAGCCCCTGCGGTTTCTGCTCTCCGTAGATTCCGTGTGGTTTGTGTGAGCTAGGCTGCGTGCTCGAGTTGGTTTCCCTCACGGCTTACGAAAGTCTATTTTTCAGCTCTGGAAGAAAAAAAAACAACCCTTTGTAAGTGCAGACTCCCGTTTTGTAAGGCCGAGCGTGTAGCTCTGGGGACAGTACCTGGAGCAGCAGTGCGGGGCAAGACCTCCGGGTGTGTTGTCCACTGTTCCGCTGTCTTCTGTGTGCACATTGGTCTGTTAGTTGAGAAGTTTAACTTTGCACAAGTAACCCATGTAAGAAACTGTACATTTTTCAAAAGTTGTAAATAAAGTGTAACCTTAGTGCTTATTGTATAAATAGGAGAGAGGTGTGGGACTGTGGTTATTGTACCGGCGGAGGGTCGCGTGGGATCCAGCTCCAGGCGGCCCTGTCTGGGCAGGAAATAGGCGGTAAAAGGCCCCCAAAGCCACAAATTGTGAAAGGCTTCCCAGCCTGGGGGCAGCAGCTGTGCTTGGGCAAAGCCTGTGCCGCTTGTAGCGGAGGGTAACTGGCTGGGAGAGAGCGGGATGTGGCTCTGGGATACAGGAACTGGAGTTAACTTCCTCCTGGCTTAGGAGGGGGAGAGGAGGATGTAGTGTCCTACTCTCCGGGGCTGGTGCCGCTGCTCAGCGCTGCAGTCACGGGGGAAGCTGCTGGGCTCTTTCAGATACCAGATGGGGTTTAAGAGCCCGCTATGTCTCTCCTTTGTGCAGGGGCCCTTTGCTGCACCCTGTGGGCCTGGTGCAGCTGTCTCCCAGGTGCGCGGGGGGAGGGCAGGACAGGGAGCCCGTCTCAAACAAGGGTTTGTTCCTTCAGTGTTCCCCGGGCACGACTTTCCCAGGTCAGAGCCAGTCGGCAACCAGCACCTCAGCTGCGCCCAGGAAGCTACAGACAGTGTGGCCAACCCCAACCAGTCCAGCCCCACCACCGGCATCACGGGGGGG